AAAATGCAAGCTCCGCCCACCCATATCCATGGTAAATTGTAGATGTGAATCGAATGTGTTAAGAGCCTGGAAAAATGCATTAAGGCGTTCAACGGAACCACGCCAAAGTACAATGGTATCGTCACGGAAGCGAAACCAGCACCTAAGTTCCGGATAAATAGTCCGTGATGCTAAAACTTGTTGATCTATGTTTTCAGCAACAATGTCAGCATATGAGCAAGAGTTTTTGGGGCCCATAGCCGTACCATTTTCCTGCAACCAATATTGCCCACGAAAAGTGGAACAATTTCTCTTGAGACAAATTTCCAAGGCTTCCACAACACATTCAACCGGCACGTCAAATTTATCAGCATATTGGGTAAGTTTGTATCTAACCTTTTCAACCCCCGACTGGTTATCTATAGACGGAAACATGTTAGTAATGTCGAAACTAACCAACAAGTCACCATCTTCTACCCCCTCCAATATATATATATATATATGTGTGTGTAGCGGTTTTGAGTTGTTTTCAGACGAGTGTATACCAAACCGGGCAAGCAGAAAATTCTACTTGACCGCGGCTGGGACTCGAATCCCAGCCGCGGTCAAGTAGAATTTTCTGCTTGCCCGGTTTGGTATACACTCGTCTGAAAACAACTCAAAACCCGCTACCTAACGTGACACGATTGGAATCATCAACGTGGGAAACCACAACATTCACATACAACATTGCCAGACTAATAGCTGGCTTTACGCATTGAAGGACTAACCTCCGAAATGCGACTAACATCATAACTTAACACGTCGTTCACAGCTTGACCTTGTATATATATATATATATATATATATATATATATATATATATATATATATATATATATATATATATATATATATATATATATATATATATATGTATATATATATATATATATATAATATAGCATTTGTAAATTTTGAACACTGATTAGCTAAGAGCCGTGTTGATATAACTCAATGTCAACACGGGAAATTTTCCGCCGCTTGTAAACACGGAAATTTTTCTTATTCTTCGGGCTTTTGACATTGCTATATTATAAAAAAAAATATAAAACATTTTTTCCGTATTGATATATAGTTATATCAACACTCGTGGAAGTTGGGAAAACTCGAAATTGTATGAAAACACTCCGCCCTTCGTGCGTCGTGTTTCCATACAATTTCTCGTTTTCCCAATTCCACTCGTGTTGATATAACTGTGTATCAACACGGAAAATGTTTTATATTTGTTAAATATATATATATATATATATATATATATATATATAAAAGACAAACTTGAGTTACTTCATTTAAAACATTTATTCACGACAAATTTGTTTCGTATGGCAAACTAAGCTTGCCACACTCATCAGTGTGGCAAGCTTAGTTTGCCATACGAAACAAATTTGTCGTGAATAAATGTTTTAAATGAAGTAACTCAAGTTTGTCTTTCATTTGCTCTACCTTCGTATCGAGCACTCTATTCGTATGATTCGACACTCAATATACTTATTGACATTCGCCTATATATATATATATATATATATATATATATATATATATATATATATATATATATATATATATATATATATATATATATATATATATATATATATATATATATATAATTTTTATATATATTGGAACGGCATGCAGTAAAACGGAATGCATCTTACATTTTCAAGAAGGTGTTTTCGCAGTTTTTTGTTTTCTGTCCTTCCGATACGAACAATATTGGGAATATGTTCCAAGCAAGCTTCCAGAAAGTGATCCAAAGCAGAATTTTTGTAAGTGATAACCTGAAAAATGTGCAAGTCATATTAACGCAGGTATTGTTCAACATAATTTTTAGATTACAATATTTGGATAGAATATTTCGCTAAACCCAAGGGTGAATTTTCATTAATACTTCGAGAACAAAGTCAAAGTGCAATTTCCTTCAAGTTAATATCATTTTTGTATCTGCGAAGCAGATATATATATATATATATATGCTATCCCAAACATGCAGTTACTGTTGATGTTACCGTATGTTAACATATAGCCATTCAGCGACGAGCTTATATAATCGAGCCAATTTAAACCAATCAACGATTAGCTTACATCAATTGTTTACATCGTGCCCGCATCTAACCTGCGAACGAGCATCGTTTGGCCTCGTGTTATTCTTTGCCATTTTCACATTTTGGCTTCAAAAATATTAGTCTTGATTTTGGCTTGTTTTCACGTGCCATTCTACTTGCGATATTATTCCTAAGTTATCTATCAACATGGAAACTTATCCTCATCTGGTAAGTAGTCAAATACCACGTATTTTATTATATATTTATACGGTAAAAAAATCCAATCAACAATGTCATAGGAAACTAATGTTCTCAGGAGATATTGAATTAAATCCTGGTCCTCTATTTCTGTATAAACTCTGTTGAAAACAACAGTCCAACTGAACTGTCATCATTTTGCTTTCTAACATAAATGTTTTTGTTTAGAGATTAACACAAGAATGATGAATAAATGTATTGGACATTGGCTGGATAATTTTGTCAGAACAATGGCCACTTGCAAGACAATCTTATCTAAATTCATTAGTATAGAAAATAAACTTAACAGTTACAATAATCACACATTATATGGATGGATCAGATCAATGTACAAAACTAAAGTTGTGATACCTTCTAGATCTAAACTTGTGATAGCTTCTAAACTTGTGATACCTTCTGTGTTAAACCGAACAATGTCAGTATGGTATATCATTAACTGTGCACAGAATTAGAATTGGATTACATAATTGAATTACATGAATTACAATCACTCATGACCTTCAAAACATTCTCTACCATTCAGAGGTCTTCGATATATGATTGATTCATTGCTACAGTAATGCATGTTCCTCGCATAGTTTGTATATGTTACTCAACAGTTAACATTGCCAAGTGTAAACAACAAGTGACAGAACTTTTGCTTCATATGATTACATTAAAGTTTTGAAAATTCGATAAATATGGGGATTGGCAAGTGACAGTTTACTGAATAGCCGGCTTATTTCCTGACTACATAATTCTCCGTTACAATCATAATCACATTATAAAATTAGTTAAATTTTCTCGTCGAGAGGGGGGGGGGGGGG